ATTGTCCACTATATTGCTGTTGAAGTTTTTTGTATTCTTTGAGCCAAGCGCAAATTTCACACATTATCAACAGAAATACGAGTCAGTAGTCAACGATTTGATCAAGAAGAAACTGCACGAGTAGATCTATCAAAGAACAGAATTTCGTTTTTTCCTTGCCATAAAAACACATTACAAATGTAAGATTTCAAGTATTCGAGCTACTGGAATTCCAACTTTATTCGAAAAATAAGAATTTCGAATATGTTTTATCTCAGATTTTCTACTAACTGATTTACCTAGTTATTATGGCTTGAAATAATAATACTGCTTATTTATATGATAAGTTGCCGAAAATCTGTCTGTGACAAATAAAAAACTACTGCAGTGCAGTTTAACCACTGTAGCGAATAATGAGCAAATTGTACAGCGTCATGTGGTGTTGTGGTGCTCAGACTAGAAAAAGGTACTGAGTTGACTCTCTGAAGTCTGAAGAAAGTCAAAACAAATCTTTAATGGTTAGCAGGCATTGCCCAACGAGCCTATACAAAGTTGCGAATATAATCATGTAAATGTACTACGCTGCTGCATAATTTCCCGACTCAAATTTTTGAATTGAAAATGTCGTAACTTCTTTCAAAGTCAAAGTTTTTAATGATTTTGCCATTAGTTTCTTTGTGTTAAGCACTACTGTGTTACTTTGGCTATCAGAGAAATATTAAGATTTGCGAAAAACTCTGTTAAAGAAGAAGCAAAAACTCAGGAACTTCACAGCGTTCTTCTTCAGACCTGTCTTTTTGACATGGTAATGTTTCCTATGGGAACAGTCGTTGATTACTTTGCAACCTGAAAGAGCCCATAGAATCTTCGGTGTCAAGAGATTTTTTTTTCGAACAAAGAATAAGCCATTTTTTGACCTCGCTTCAGTACATGTGTGCATACTCGATTACGAATTATGAAAATTTTTATCTGGCAAGAACTTACGTGCAAGAACATATCTCTTAGGGCCCCGGGCATATCTCACGCGATTTCAGACGAGACGCGATTTGGCAATACTCCATTGTTTATAACTCGTCTCGAACTCAAATCGAGCACTCGCAAAATGGCACAATTTATCAATTTACAAAAGTTGATACATAAGCACTTGTGGTCTGCGAGTGTTGAGTTCGTAGAGATCTGGCAAATGGCCAAATCGCGTGGCGACTGAAATCGCGAGAGGTATGCGCAAGGCCTTAGGTGAGAACCTACTCGGTGGCAAGGATCTTACAATTAGGCCTGCAATCTCGTTAGACTGAATTTACTGGAATTTGATATGTATCAGAAAGAGTAAGAAAAGCGCTTTCTAACGATACAAACAGCATCACATTAGAGGTGAAATCTTCGTATTTAGCTGCATCAAACATAAGGTTGGTAAGTGTGCCTCATCCTGAGTTTTTAGCATTTGAAAGAATACTTGCATTTTCTAGACTCATAGATAGAATCCTATTGCAACGGGTCAACTGATAGACTTATCTAAAGCAGTTTCAAGACTCATGAATCTCCTTGAGAAACCTTATAATCAAATTGCATGCAATGGTGTATAAATGCTGAATGAGTTTCAAAACGAGGAAGATTTCATATTTCTCATTTATAAGAAAGTAGACCTTACCTGATTTCCACCCTAGCCATTGATTGAACTGGCTGCATAAGCGACTTTTAAATTTATGCGTAAGGCCTAAGGCATACTTCGCGCGATTCGGCCAAATCGCGATGTTCACGCGACCTGGCAGTTTGCCAGATGTTTCCAGATTTATCGTGCGCGGTTCTCCAATACATGGGTGCGTAGCTTTTGTAATCTGTTGCGAACTGATCAAGTCCTGTCTTAACAAAGCGCTCCTACGACCAATTATGAACAGTTGTTCTGGTGACAAATCGCGCAGCGACAAGAATCGCGTGAGGTATGCCTTAGGCAAGTGCTTATATTTGGCGATATCAATTTTCGAGAAGAAACGTATGCACAATCAACTTGCCCCATATATGAACGAATTTGTATCAATGCTTCGATTGAAGTTGTTGCTGATTTCTTAGCAATTAGACTTGCGTAAAAACGAAACGAAAATAATAAAAACAAAATATGAAAACAATGAGAATCAAAGAATCAGTGTCATTCCTCAAATTTTCAGTCTTTTTCTGGCTTAGAAGGACCTTCAAAGCATCATAAATGACTTCAACAATAACAACGAAGGTTTAAGTTCTACATCTTTACGTTAGGATAGCTCGCTCTTTCGCCTTTCAAAGGTTTCTTCGTTGGCTAACGTCACAATCGGTGCATTACTTTGTAGTATCAATTGCTTGAAAGTGAGATCCGTGACTCTAATGCTACATTTCTCACGCGGAAACAAAGCATTTTACTCGAACAATAACAACTGCGAAGTGTGTAAGTTTGCTGGAGTTGTTTTGGGAAAGCGTTAAGTTCTCAGCTATTGTCTAGCGGTCTTTGCACAAGGACATCGCAACATAACAAAGATGCACATCAGCAATTAGAGTGTTGAAAGTTACTTAGAAATAATAAATTTCTGTTAGTGGGCCTTTAATGTTTTGAATAATACCTTCTTTTGAGGTGTGAAAAAATAAGATTTATGCGGACTGCTCTCTCGAAACAAACAAAATGCAAAATCTTCAAAAACATAAATATGTACCTTTGAACTATTGTGAAGCTAAATGTACATGTTCATATTGAAATGTTTTGCAGCTATTTCTCTTTTCAAAGAATGAGGAGTCATATGTGACCTTTCTTCATCTTCTACATAGAGAGCAGGTAGATTCACTTCAATGAATGCTTTATCAAACAAACTTTACCTCATAAAATCTCCAAAATTACGCTAGTAAAGCTAAGTTGTACGCGCAGAAGGTGAATCAGCTTCTGACACAAAGATCTCAATATAAGATAATTCCCAAGATAGTTCTCACTATCCAAGTCTATCAAATTTCACATTTGGGTTTCCCCTTTACTCCTCTTTTCATTTGCGCTCTTATATCTGCCTCAATATGTAAAACTCGCTTTGAGGTATTCGCGAATCAATTTAGAAATTGCAGTATTTGAGGCGAAATCTTACCTCAAAAATCCTGCCCTATTAGCAGCTTAATTTTCTAGAATTTACCTTCCACCTTCTGAATCACCATGTTTTCGCTTCATCTATGGTCCCTACTAATTGTAAGAGGTAAAGGAACGAAGACCCATTAGACATCACCTCTGCGGACTGCTGGTCCTTTCGCTTTCTCTATGACAAAAAAAGAAAATTACAACTCAATCGGCTTTAAAAAATACAAAGGCAATTTTTTTGTTGAACACTCGAAGAAACAGGGCTCGGCACTGGTGGCTTATAAGCAAGCTGGATAACGTTTTTGGGACGATATATAGAGCAAGAGGAACACTTTTGTGGCCGAAAAAAACACACTTAGGTAAACTGGCGACGTTTCGTTTTTTGAGGTTATACGTTTCTGATTTAGAGTCGAAAGGGACGTCGTAAAATTTTGGGAAGTCAGGGGAAACTCCGTTTTTTGCGTTTTCGGAAAGCCAACTCGTGCCGAGCCCTGCGAAGGAAACATCAGACAGTTCACATTGGAACACTGGGCAGATGATAGGAATGCTACACTCATTTTCGAGATTTTTTGAACTGCTGCAATATTTTTCGCTGCGTACAATGCTCCCAGGTCATTCTAACTTCCGATGAATAGAGCATGCGTAACATCTAATAATAAAAGGTGGTAAAACATTCATTTGGGCTGGCATTAACTGCAAAAAAACTGCATTATTTAAAAACAGCCACGACCGATAGGGTCTTGATGTCTTGTTCACAAAGCTCTTGCATTTCAACACGTAGACATCTTTCAGAGGGTCTGGCACCGTTTTTGCGCATTCCAGCATCTGCGCGATCGTGTACAGTACGCACACATGCAGATGGGGGCGGCCGGGCACTGTCCAAGCCTCATTCGCGTGTCCATGAGCGCGCGATCGACTGCACTGATCGTGCTCGCAGCTGTTTTGCAAATTGATCAGGTCGGTCTTAACAATCTCTTTGAATGTTGATTAATAGTTAAAATCTCATCTATCATCAGCGTTCTTATTTTATGTATATGTTTTCTTAGCAGCTTCGGCATAAATCGCACCGGTTTATACCTCTGTAGCTGGCAATATTATAGCGCGTTCACTCTGTCATAATTACAATATATTATACTTCTTAATTCTTGCCGAATTTAAAAAATAATCAAAATTAAGCCCTCCTTCATAATAATAAACATGCACAAGCGCATTTAATAAGCCGAACATATTTTGATGTTTGACATGTTCAAGGAGTAGATTTTTGTTAATATTAGTTGCATCAGTACGGTCTATAGCGTCATAAATGATTAGCTAAAATAGATTTGTAAGTAAATATGTGAAGCCACCTTCTACGATATATATTTCTAAAATCGTGAAAGAGATAAGAAAAAAAATTTGCAAAGTTATCGGTTTCACTTTTCTTTCAATTTCTTCCATTTGGAGGTACTTGATTTCCATCAATAGGTTAAGCTCTAGATAACTTATTGTTAGTACCGATCTTCATGTCTCAATCTGTGCAATAATCAGCAGCTTGATTTTTCAATCCACGTATGACCATTTGGCGGTAGAGTGGCACTCAAATATTTATCATTCAGTAGATTCTTTTGATCTGATGTGTCAAAAGCCAAAAATTTCTTTGTATAAGCTGGCTAAAATGAAAGCAACTGTAAAGCCTCACACATCTGTTGCTTAACCTTATAGGACTCACGGTTCTTACTTTGAAAGGATACTGATTCTAACTGTCTAAGAATGTGGTAGCTTGCAGCAAAGTTGCGAATCATTAGTGAAGCTACTGCAAGAAAATCATCTTTCAAATTCTTAATTTACTAGTGAAACAAATTTGTCTTCCTTTCATCTTAGCTACATCATGCGCTACCCATGTACAGTTCTTTGTAGCAAACGCGGGTTATCGGCTAATTACAGTATACCCGCCGCTTAGATGGACCTCGAAATTGGTGGTTGTTATGTCTCCGAAACGGACAGACTACCACATGCCTACACGACATTGCGCAACCCTATATTACCCTTGATCGACTTTGATCCAAAAACATCTGCTCTTACAGGTGACAGCCTATTCGACGTCTCGCTTTAAAATTCGTGATGTGAAAGTTGTTCGCGACGATGGTGCAGGCTGTTGCAAGGGTAATTTTCAAACATCTCCTAGAAAATACAAGAAAATCCCTTTCAGCGAACGCCACTTGTCCTTGCGAGCTTCAACTCTCTTTTTGTGCTGGAGTTCATTTTCCGGAAAAGAAACACTACAAGGATTGCCACTACATTCATTTTCAAACGCCTTTCATCACACCCGACGATTTCCCCTACAATGCCGACGTCCCCATCAGCATCCGATGGCCTGTGGTGAGTTTTTGGCCTAAGGTAAACTTTATCGGTAACCCCTATCGAGATGAATGTCTGCATGCTTTGTTATGTAATCCATCTCTATTGGTGGCCCTTATAGCCACAATTACATAGACTCAAGTGTCATTACCGTATCCGCTTTGTAAACTTCCGTAGCAGATGTGTGCACCAGAACTTAATCTGAGCATCATTCAGAAACTTTTACCTCATATGGGTTTCTCCTGGTGATTAGAAAATTTTTGCACACGCAGATTCAGAAGCGCGAGCTTCCAAGCAGCCTCACTGCAATTCGCTCGATATTCTAGACCATCCTGCAAAATTACTGGCCTTCTTCTTTTTATATCCCTTTCTAGCACTTTGTTTAATGGGAAGCTTGCCAATCTTTTCATTTGTCACCTTCAGCCAATCATTATCGATTTAGGAAAACTGTGTAGATTAAGCGAGAATTTTATTCGACTGTCCTCCTTTTCTTTGAATACAGTCAATTTGGGCTTTTTTTTCGGAAAATTGGCTTGGATCGTACACTTTCTACTCTCCGTTTAATGGACTCATGATCGCGCACACTTTACTCATCCTTGAGACTGAAAAACATTTCATTTCAGCGACCTTTGTGGATTAACTAGCATTGCTCTTTTCTAGTGCCGCTAAGAACTGGAGAGGGGGAGAAAGGGAGGGGGGGGGGGGAGTTCACCATGATGGAATTTGAGGACATCTGGCTGTGTATAGGCCAGATGTGCAAGTGTTGAAATGAGGACGTTGGAAGAATTTTCCGATCAAGATGAGAACATTTCAGTATACACTCCTTTCATTGTTTACATTTTGTTTTTGCCCTGGAAAAAGTTGTAGAAGTAGTTATAACCACTTCGATATCGCAAAAATAATGCTCTAACCGCTTCTGGCTCCATTTTCCTTCAGTCGCTTTTAAATAAACAATACCGGTAACGAGTAGAAACGGATACTAGTCCGGGCTAAACTCAAAGATTATATAGAATTTTTGAAAATTGTTGCTTTTTTCAGTTTTCTACTGGATGTAAAAAATTGTTTCTATAGTGTTAGCTTTCTAGGCAGCTTTGCAGAGATGTGGGGAACTCCGGTGAAAAAAGGAAAAGAAGCTTGGGCCAAGTAGTCATAAATCCATTGGACGATGTGGACCACCGGTGGCCCACGCACTTTTTGCTACAAGAGAGGATATAGACCACCATGTCGACCACCGGTGTCCCATACCTTTTGCTAGGTCATATTATTTGTAGATCCGGCATTTTTTCCAATTTTTGCAATTCTAAGACGTGAGGTTCCGTCGTTTAAGGACATGTCTACAGTTGTTTACAACACAACTCGCATTTCGTAAATAGCCATAGAACCTCTACACTCCACAAGTATTGTGCAAAATCGCGTCTCACACCGCCCCACGCAAAATTAGGCGTCATCGTCAATGGATTAATGGGTATCTGTTTTTATCGAAAAGAAAAAACTGTGAGCATCTTACATAAGCATATTCGCAACGCATGAACTAAAATTCTGCAGTAGTTTCTCATTTTTCTAAAAAGAAGGAAATTTTCGAAGCAGAACTACCAATCCAATAGTAAAAGGATACAGTTTTTTCTGAGAAGCTGCTAGATTCTTCCTCATTTGCTCCGGTCCTCCCTGGCGATTTGTCATTGCTGCGCGCGCCCTTTTGAGGACTGCGGATCAGACGGATAAGGGTGTCTAAGAGTTCCGGTCGGTGCTAAGAACACCGCTTAACGCATACGTCGTGCATAGTACCGTCTATTCTAGCCCTGTATGCCCAAAATAAACACCATGCTCCATCGACCACCGTTTGCTATGTTTTACTCCACTTTGGCAGTAATTACAGACACCTGTGCCATAGCGGATGGCGCAATCAAATCGGAAAAAATAGTCAGGGTCATAAGAGAAACCCACACGAGCCAGAGCATCAATTAGCACTTAGTTGAAGGTCCGTTGGTCACAACATTACGTCAAAGTGACGAGGCCAGCCCTGTCAACGGCGAGGGACTCGCATGTCGACAGCAGTTAGTGCCAAATAGGCTGTGTCAGCCACCTGCTCGTTGAGTAAGGCCTCGGGCATACCACACGCGATATCGGTCGCGGCGCGATTTGGCAATACTCCAAATGTTCATAACTCATCGTGCGTGGTTTCTGAATGTACGGAAGATGGGGCATTTTATCAACCTACGAAAGTTATACATGCTGTACATTTGGGGTCTACCAGTATTAAATTTGAAGACATCTGGCAAAATGCCAGATCGCGTGGCGACTGAAATCGCGTGAGGTATGTCCCTTGCCTAACTGCTTATGCTAACAGATGAGTATGACATGATGAAATCAATACTAGTGGCGTACCGAGGGGAGGGGGCGGGGGGGGGGGGGCGCCCCCTCCCCAGGTTACTTATATGGGTTATAAAAATGTGCAAGTGACTTGTTTATTTTTCTAAATAATTAAAATAACTTTTAAAATTTTTAAAAATTCTAATTAGCCTTGTAAAATCGGGGACCCGCAAAAATTTTGAGAAGCACCCCAAAAAATTTTTCGGAGTGCGTGGCTGACGCCACGCACCTTCTATAAAAAAATTCTTTGTCGCGCCCCCCCCCCCGAGCCGAAATCCTGGGTACGCCACTGGGGGTGGCGGTCAAGATGAACGACAGCATGTGCCAGCCGCCAGCTGGGTACCGTACACGGTGCGCTGATCGCTTCACCCCCTTCTTAATTGGCCTAGGAATGGGTTGCAACTATTGAAAAACTCTCTAATACTTCGTTCATGCTTCTTCACTTGGTTGCAATTTGAATAACAGCAGATTTCAAAATTTCAGTTAAATTAAAAATCAGTTTTCAGATCATTTTCCATTAAAAAATTGGTTCGCAAGCTCTTTCTAATGTATTTCAATTATTTGTTCCTAGTAGGCTTGTCCAAAATAATTTTTCATTGCAGGTATGAGGATGTTTTGAAAATGCTTGGAAAAGTGTTTTTTTTATTCACATCTGTTACCATATTGGATATGCTTTGTTGTGCACTCTGAAGTTTAGTTTAAAAAGAAGTCAGCTTATCGAGCAATACTGTTATTATTGCTGGAATGGCCAACACCATTATCTCTTCTGTAGGAAAAGTAGGTATTAAAACTCTAATCATAGCTAAAAACAAATTTCATTGCCACGAGAATTCAAAACAAGCATTATAGGCGAATTTTGTTTCAAGCAAACTAAATTGTTTTGCAAATATGCGGTCATATCACAAAAATTTTCTCAGATTTCAGGAAAATCATACTGCACTTAAATATTTTCGAATCTGCTTTAAACCAAATTCTTTTATTTTGTTTCCAAAAACTGCTATCCTCAATATAAATCGACCCGTAACTCAATCGAAATTACGTGTGAACTAGTCGTAAGATGTGAGGTCACTCAGACAATCATGCCTGAGGTATTCTAAATTGATTTCACACTTCAAAGTTGGATATTCAGGAGTCACTCGGTCAATCATAGGTAAATCAGCAAATCTCTCGAATTTCAAAACTAACACATCAGCTGTTCCTTGATTGCCAAAAAAAGAAACAAAAAATCAAAACAAGATTCTGTAAATAGTTAAGCTACGCCCCAGCTTGCAACAAGCTTATATCTCACTATCAAAAGTTATTTTTACTTGACGGTATCGTCCGAGAAACTCGTCCGCCGCAGTAGGGCGGAGCTTCGAGCGAACACGTTATTGCCAGTTCATGACCCCGCGCGCCACTGGTACCAGCTATCGTTCATCTTGACATATACCCCGCCACTGGTTGATACATATGTGATGCAATCGGTCTAATTCTGCATAAATTCAAAATCCATCATAACTCCTCAATTATTCCAAGAATAGAGATGTCTAGAAAAGTTTTGCAGGCTTGTCCAAATCGCTCCATACAAAACTACAATTTGAAAAGCTGTGATGATTTCTCACACTTTCCAGACTGAGTGGCAACTGACAGTAACTGCACACGACCGATTTGGGAACTCGGTATTGGAAGTATCACGTTTCTTTCGTAACATTAGTTCACACTCTCCTATTACGGATATGACCATTGTGAGTCGTCCTTGTCTGTTCATAAATCTTTCCAAGAAATGTTTTCCAGGAAGCAAAGAATGTCACAGTCAGTTTTTCGTTTTCTGTGGAGTGTGAAGCAAATTTCTATGGTCCTGCATGCACTATCTTTTGCAATGAGACATTCAAAGAGTACGGTATAGGCTTTTTGTAACAATACATTCAATAACAGAATTATAGTCAGAATGGCGGTTCATTCAAGTGCTCACCAGGAGGAAAAAAGATCTGCGAATCTGGATGGACTGGTTCACTCTGTAATGAACCAAAATGTGAGAAGGACTGTGTCCATGGAACATGCATTGGCCCAAACACATGCAGGTGAGCGGCATCCATCCTGACTCACTCAACTTAATGATTGTGCTTTCCGACCATTCAAGAGAGGTTTACGGTAGAGCAATTTACGGTACCTTCAACCTCCGCGTGAGACCACCCATTTCGGCGGAGTCCTCCACCCCATGCTGGATGCATCGTATTATATTTCCACTTTTTTGAAATGCCTTACACTCCCACCCGAAACTTCGAACTACTTACCTCCCGTAACCTATAGTAAGCTCATGAAAGAAACCCATTATCAAGCGAAACTTCAGCGAAATTTTAGGTTTTGAAAACTAGGGTTGTTGCAGGCCGACACTTTTTTGAGTAAAAGATTTTGGTTTCTGAACAGCTGTAATCTCGAAAATGTGCCATACTCTTAAAGAAAGGAGCTGACTCAGGTCTTTTATTGCAACTTTTCTAATTGCAGATGTGACTTTGGCTGGAAAGGCGTCTCCTGCTCGGAATGCGTGCCACTGGCAGGATGCCAAAATGGATACTGTCGCACAGCTCATCAGTGTGAATGCCTGAGAAATTGGGGTGGTCTATTATGCGATATGTACGTACCAGTTATGACACTGCTCTTAAATTTGAGAAGTGAAATTTAACTCTAGTGACTTGGATTACTGCTCAAACCATAAGGACTTGTGCCAGAACGGTGGCGTATGCCTCTCGGATGGTGAAGACCTATACAGATGCAATTGTACAGCAGCCTTCGAAGGTAAAAATTGCGAAAAGAAGGTCAGTTATTTTGACTGAGTTAATATTACACTAAAGATGATAACTATTATTCTAGAAAGAAGTAGACTGCACGATGCTCGACTGCGGAGTGGGAGTGTGCGTAATGGGCAAGGCACCTCAATGTGAATGCCCTCTTGATCGCAGTGGGACACACTGCGAGTATCTAGAAAGTGAGTCAAAACATAATTTTGCCCAAAAAAGTTCAATTTCGAAAAGTTTTGCTCTACTCCCTTCGGGCTGTTCAACATAATCCCTATACACTATTACTAAATGTCGTTAAATTATGAGACGCTCATTTCCAATAACTGTTGAAGCTTAAAGGCCAGATTCTCGACTTGCATAGATCGTTTAGGGGTCTTCTCATGTCCCGCTTCCGAATATGAAGTCGAGAAACTGCGAAAACCCCGACAATCCCCGGCGCGGAGAATTTGCAGGCCGGCTTTGGGACGATGACTGGATGGGCGCGTACAGATGGGCGGGCATTGCTGGAGAGGGCGGTGCCGGCTTGGGGCCCCTCACGCCTCTTCGCTATTCCGAAGTGTTTCTCGCTTCCAAGCGACATCTCGAGCTCGACTTGGGCATTGGCTTGATGGGGGATCCTATTATCACAAGCTGCCAAAAGCTCAATACCCCTAACTTGGGGTGGACGGTGCTTTTGAAGTTTGTAAAATATAAAATATCTAAGTAAGCTAAGGCTTCCGAGATATCATGCTGAAGAAAACGGACAAAGCAAAAAAAATTTGAGCAAAGTACACTCAAAGTTTCAAGGCAAGAAGGTATGTCAAATTTGACAGATTTTATTACAATTTTTTGTAGGTGACGTGAAGACCTCGTTTCGGATAGATGTGCTGCTCATCAGCGTGGCCATTCTAATCCTAGCAATCTGCCTAGCAGTCCTTAGTGTGCTGATTAGATTTATCTGCGAGAAGCTGGAGCTAATCCAGAAAGGCGTAAGTCATTAAAATCTCATTTTATATCTCAGTCTTTCACACCATCTTCAGGGGCAAGCAATCCCTTTCTACACTGCACACTGGGTAGCGGCTGAGCTTCACATCAGGGGTGAGCTTTTTCACTCGCAAGTAATTTTGAAGCAAAATTGGTTTTTCAGAAAGATCTTCTTCTCCGCCACCCACTTACGACACTGGTCAAAATCGATCTCCTCGTAAATCTTGGCAAAAGAGCAGCACGGAGTTTTTAGAGGAAATTACAGTCTAGTCGTTTTGGAGCTTATACGCAAACGGGATGTATATAACCTATAGAATACACTATTTCAATGGTATTTACTGTTTTACAAATGTTGTTGCTAGAATACGTGTTCCATATTTTTCGTGTGGCATATCTGCTTATTATTTAGAGGCAAGTAAACTCTTATGTTGTGGTTTTTTTTGCGATTTATATATTTGGGCTCTGAATTGTATAATAGCAATTATGCGTAAATTTTTTGTTGAATGACATTCGTCTAGACAACTTACTTCTCAGAAAGCACAAAAGATGTTGTATGAAATCAAATTTTCATAAAATAATCTCTTGTGTTTCGTTCATAAAACGCTCATTGATCGTTTATATCAGGATTTCTTCCTACTTTGAAATAGACTTGCAAATTCTAATGTTTGATAGAGTGCCGGAAAAGTTCTCTCCACGTTTGATTGGATTTTTTTGTAGAGCTCGCTTCAGCTTAGATTTACGGTGTGGAGCGAAACCCTCTCTGTTACTGTAGCATTACGGTAGGTTCCAACGCAATGCCGCTTTCGTAAATTAGCTGCAGTCCTTAAAATCAAAAGATCTGAAACTTGTGGTGGGATTTTTGAAAGCGCTGATTTTAGAAAAATAAAATAAAATCACATCGGCTTGCAAGACAGATTAGACGATAAAGAAATTTTTTGAGATTTTCAAGCATACAGCTATGTTCACTTGGCGCAAGTTCAACAAAACATCATTTTTTAAGACCAAAGGGTTCTAGTACGTCAAAAAATTTTCGGCGTATTCAAAGTCCTTCTCGAAGCAAGATTTCTTCTCTATAATGGTAAGGAATTCTCAGACTTAACCCCACAGGAACGAAGAAATAGATGATCGAGCCAAACTGTGAACCTGAGTTGGAGCAAGCTCCACAAAATGCAACATACCAATGAATAAAGAAAGATTGACTAGACTGACACCTAAGCGGTTTTTTTCGTAATTCCTAGCTACCTCTGTGCAGGGATCATTGCAGCGGACACAGGCTATCGCTAATTACAGTATACTCACCACTTACTGGACCGTGAATTGGTTTTCATGATTTCTGCGGAGTAGAAAGACGACACACAGGCACGGGCATTGCACAACCTTACGTTACCCTTGATCGAATCTAGTTCACAACATCTGCCCTTACAGGTGACAGCCTACTTAACGTCTCGCTTCAAAATCCACTGATGTGACAGTGGTTCGCGACGATGGTACAGGCTGTTGAAGGGAACTCTGTAAAATTCTTATTGAAATAAAAGAAGCTCCATTTCCAGCGAACTCCTCCTGTCCTTGTGAGCTTCAACTCTCTTTTTGCTCTACCGTTCACTTTCCGGAAAAGAAACACTTCAAGGACTGTCATTACATTCTTTCAAACGCCTTTTATCGTACACGACGATTTCCCTTACAATGCGGAAGTTCCTATCAGCATTCGCTGGCCTGTAGTGATTTTTACGCCTGAAGCAAATTTTATCGGTAACTCTTATCGCCATGTATGCCCGCATGCTTTTGTTAGGTAATCCATCTCTATTGGTGGCCCTTGTAGCCGCAATTACCTCCACTCAAATGTCATTACCGTATCCGCTTTATACACTTCGGTAGCAGATGTGTGCAACAGAATTGATCTGAGCATCATTTAGCAACATTTGCCTTGCAAGGGTTTGTCCTTTTGATTAGAAAATTTTGCAGACGCGAAAGATTCATAAGCGCAAATGATGAGGCCTTTTTCCCGAGTCAGTCTAAGATTTCCAATTTGTATCCTAACAAAGACAGTGATTATGAAAAAAAACCGCACATTTGTATATCTTCTCGGTTTAGTGCTTTTAGTGATTAGCATAAATTGACTTGCCTCTTTCACTTTCTTACTTTTTTCACTTTTAAGAATTTTTTGAACTAACATTTTTCATGAAGCCACTTAAAAATGAATACTCTGTTATGAGTGTTCACTTTGCCAAGGGAGAATTATCGTCTGATGGAGCGTATTCGATAATTTGGATTCTTCAGATGTCTGAAACCCCGAAATTCTTCTAAAAGCAAGATGCGAACATTTGCGAAACTTTAATTTACTAAACCTTTGAGATTTTTGGAACATATTCGATATTCAGGGAATTCATCCCATTATTCGACATCTTCAAGGTTTTGAAGATTTTCCACATACGTTCATAATCTTTGGTAATAGTCTGTTTGTTTTCCACCCAAAGAAATTTGTTTTTTCCCTATCTGGTAGATCAAAAATTTCACAATGCTTCTCTAGTTTGATTTTGCGGTAATTTTTGATCTGTTTTTATGAGAAGTTTTGTATCTTCCCAAGCAACATTACTGCAACTCGTTTGATATTCTAGACCACTCTGCCAAATTAGTGGCCTTCTTCCTTTTCCATCCTTTTCTAGCACTTTGGTAAAGGGAATCTTGCCAATCTTGTCATTTTTGACACTTTCGACCAATCATTATTGATTTAGGAAAACTTCGTAGATTATGTGAGAATTTTATTCGACTGTCCTCCTTTTCTTCGAATACAGTCAATTTGAGTTTTTTTCGGAAAATTGGCTTAGATCGTACACTTTCTATTCTCCGTTTAATGGACTCATGATCGCGCACACTTTACTCATCCTTGAGACTAAAAGAACGTCTCATCTCAGCGACCTTTGTGGATAACTAGCATTGCTCTTTTCTAGTGCCGCTATGTAGAGGATGGGGGGGGGGGTCACAATTTTAGAGGTTGGGAACATCTGCGTTGCGTATCGGCCAGCTGTGCAAGTGTTGAAATGAAAACAGTGGAAGAAATTTTGCCCGATCAAAAAGAGAACATTTTAATGTACACTTCTTCCATTGTTCAAATTTTGTTTTTTGCCTTTTGAAAAGTCGTTGTAAAATATTTATGACCACTTCGTTATCGCAAAAATGATACATACTCTAACCGCTTTTACTTCCATTTATCTTGAGTCACTTTCCGATAAACAATACCTAACGAAACTGGAAACAAATATTAGCCCAGGCTCTCTACTCAAAGATTAAATAGAGTATTTGAAAAATTTTCCTTTTTTCCGATTTCTAACTGGAAATAAAAATTGTTTCTATAGTGTTAGCTTTCAGCCATCTCCGCAGAGACGGGGAGGGAGGGGTGGGGGAGGCCGGTGAGAAAAAGGCAAAGGAGCGTGGAGTGCCATGTAGTCATATCAACCTGTTAACGACGATGTGGGCCACCGGTGGTCCGCGCACTTTTTGCCGTCAGAGACATGTGGCCCACCGGTGGCTCACACCATCTTGCAAAATCATATCCTTTGCGGTCTAGTATTTTTCTCCACAGTTCAGCATTTTTTCCAATTTTTTGCACCGTTGAAACCTGTAGACTTCGTCTCCAGAAAGATGGCTGTAGTTGTTTACGAATCATTTTTACATTTCGTAAATAATCGCAAAATCGCAAAACTTTCTCGCGCCAAAAGTGTTATGCAAAATCGCGTCTCAGTAGCGGCTCCACGCAAAGCGCTAGGCTTTATCGTCAATGGGTCACGGGTATATGTTTTTACTGAGAAAAAAAAACTGTGTTAATGCGTAGGCATTCTCGCAACGCATCCCAATCCTTCAGTAATTTCTCATTCTTCTAAAATGAAAGAAAATTTCGAAACAGAACTACCATATCATCAGCAAAAAAGGTTACAATTTTTTCAATGAGCAGCTAGATTCCGCATCATATTCCTCCCCCCCCCCTCCCAGTCGATATGTCGGTACTGCGCGCGCCTTTTTGAGGACTGTGGATTAGACGGATAAGAGGGGCGAAGTGTTCCGGTCGGTGCTAAGAACACCGCTTAAAGGCAGTGTCCAGGCTAAACCTAACCCCCTCAGATCAGTGTCGATCCTGAATACAGGCCCCAGAAAAGGGCCATCTGCGTTGGTTCGGTCTTTTAACGTTGTCCCTGAAAGGAGATAAGGGGCCTCAAAGTCCCTGGCTGGGCGGAGTCTGATATCAAACTCCGCCCACCAGGGACTGCTCACTAACTTGCCAATACGTGCCTCCCGACACGTATTGACAAGGTAGTGAGCAGGAGCTGCACATCGCACCCTGCAATGCAACTGCACCCATGCAGTTGCAGCTCCTTCCCGCTGGCCTGCCGACGGGGACTAGCGATTCGAAACTCGTCCACGCTCTCAAGAAAGGGTCCCCAGGAATCGGGTGTTTTGTGAATTTTGGCGAATTTGAAATTCAGAACTGTAATCAGGGCCACGGAAAGGCCCCAGAATGACGAAAATATGGGGGGCCAAATTCTGAGTGGACGCTGCCTTTAACGCATGCGTCGTGCATAGTACCGTCTATCTTGTCCTGTATGCCCAAAAATAAGTACGATGCTCTATCGACCACCGTTTGCTATGTGCTTAACTACACTTTGATAGTAATTACAGACACCTGTGCCATAGCGGATGGCGCAATCAAATTAGAAACAGTCAGGGTCATCAGAGAAACCCACACGAGCCAGAGCATCAATTAACACTTAGTTGAAGGTCCGTTGGCACAACATTACGTCGAAGTGGCGAGCGCCAGCCCTGTCAATGGCGAGCGACTCGCATGTCGACAGCAGTCAGCGCCAAATGGACTGTGTCAGCCACCTGCTTGTTGAGTAACTGCTTATGCTAACAGATGACTATGACGTGATGAAATCAAATATGCTAGTGATGACACTCAGGCAACAAGTGTTCAGTCTCAGCTTAACAACTTTAGCGGAATTCTCATGTGCAGGGTGCGCCAAAATCACCGGCGCGGGTTTTCTTGGGTGCCAGAAGGTACTAAACGGGCTTGAGGGCGGATCGTGTATGCGTTTGTTTCCACCAGTCATCATTATCGTGATGCAGTAATCAATTCAGAATTTGGCTGCTTTATCTCTCGGAAAATTCCAATTTCTCTCGCCGACCGAGCTACTCTGTAAGCAAGCATGACTGTGAGACTCTATAAAATAGTTTTTCAATGACATTTTCTCTTGCTCTGTAATTGCGCACGAAAGTAA